ATTTGCAATTTCAATAAATTTATCTTAGCAACCCTATTTATTCCAACATATCGCCAAATTTTCTCCTTAAGCACCTGAGTCCCAGCACCACCTTCTCAACCTTCTTTAATACTTTCTAGAGGAACCCAACAACATAGTTGTTATGGGTCTGTCTGTATCTGACCCTCCACCTCGACGCCACGTATCAGCAGAAGCGGTCCCATCGTGACACGCATCAGCCGAGGTGATTACCCCATGGGATGATATGAGTGCACTCATCGAAGTGATTACGTGAAGGACGAACTGGATAGGCGCCAGCGAACGAACCGAACTGATCCGCCGACACATCGCGGAAGCAAAGGCCCGCACTCCGCCTCTATAACGCTGCAATGCCTCACCTGCCTCGCTTCGCATCATCAAAGATCTCTTGTACAAAGATCTTTCCAAAATCAAATCACTGACTGATGGGACGCGTAGCAGGACCTAAACTGTCAAATCAACTGTTTTTGTCAGAAACATTCAATACCAGCCAACCTATGGAGGGACGGATTGATACCTAGGATGGGACGAGCCCAGGGGAATCTGATGACACGTGTCTCCTCATCCAACGACTCTCCTCTTCCCATCTTTAGTATAAATATCCTCTCCTTGTGCCTGAAGAAGAGGTAAAATCCACACATTCAAAACGACCACCACGTTATGAAACTTAAATATTATCTTCTCCCCCATATTGTTAGCACCTTGACTATCATACATTCAACCACTTCCTGGCGAGTGTTCTACCGCTGGCAAACTCCTTTTGGTTGAACTTCAAACTGACTTGACCGTCGGAGTGCTTGTGGCCACTCTCAACCCCTTCGGGAAAGGCCATGAGTGACTAACGATGTGCTACGTGTGCAGGGAGGAGCTGACTTGAAGATATCTTTTGTTGGCTACGTATCGGAACCCTTTTTTGAGGTCAACAATAGTGATGGTGAAGGTTGAATGGGGTACGGTGGTGGTTAAGGTAGGCACAGATGTTGGTAAGGAATTTGGCTGGACAACAAAAGGTGGTGGTGGGATTGAGATCGTAGGAAGATGGCACTAGGGAGGTTGTCATGGAGAAGGTCATGGTGGATATGTATGAAAGAAGGGGTTAGGCTCAATGGTAAAATTGACATTCTCC